AGCAATTCAATTTTCATTCGAGGAAAAATGTGGTAAGGTTCCAGCTTTGTGTGTTCCGGCCGTTTTTTTGTAGTTTCTTGTTTTAGCTCACGTTCTTTAATCGCGAATGTTATCAGTTGGGTTTAGACGTCACCTATGATTGCCAAACTAACAGAGTGACATGAGGTAACAATTGCACAGTCTTTGATAATAGATATATATCGGATGCTTAGGGGGGGACCACATGAATAAAGAGCGGGGAGGGGTAAACGATTTAAACAATTTGAATACACTAAAGTTCTCTCGAATGTTTTTAAGTATCTAGGCATTACAGTTTACTCTTTGGATGGTTACAAATACTCAAGTATATCCCAGCTATGTTCCAGTCCGCTCTTAGGATTATTTTTTGGATAGCTTAGCCTTGGGCTGATATGTTTTTTGCCTTTATTTGTAATGTTCCGCTCCGTCCTGAATACACCAAATAACTACACAATTTTTTTTCAAGCTGAAAAACGGTTTGCCAGTGTTTCTTGTAGTGCCACCATAATGAGTAACCAGTTCAAAGACGTTAAAAGTTAATACGAACTTAACAATTGGTTAGTATACTTTACATGGTGATTTATACAATACTATGCCTCGCTTCGCTTTAAACCGTTTTAGACTGTTCTGAAAATATACTGTATTCTCAATAAATAATATGCGATGTTAATTTCAATTTCAAACAATCATATCATAAGCTTAATTTAAATACTAAATACAATAACGAACATTTTTTATCAACTGCTATGGAGGGTAATTAGGTTAATTGAGGGCCTGTGTATATAATACAGGAAGAAGGATCACCCTTGCCGTCCCTACTTGAGTTTGAAATATATACAGAAACGCTTAGAGACTAGAGTGAAAAGTCAGAGGAGAATTTCCCTCTTCATTCCGTGTTAAGAATTTCCCGTTAGGACAATGCTTTCTCGAAAATTCTTGAACTGAAAGCAAGCCCAGTAGAAAGAAGCAACTGCAACAAAAAGACAAGAACAGGAGAAAAAGGAAAAGCAAAAAAAAAAAAAGCCGTAAAAAATTCTTAAAAAATCATTTTCAGCCGTACACTTTATCGTTCACACGAATCGCTTGTCCAACACGCGTCGAGTAATTTTGCCATTGGTTCTGAAATTTCAGTTGTGTGACCATGCACCACATCCGGTCTATTGTTGTGTTTAAAATGCGCCTTTCCTGTTCATGTTTTCTGCACTATTTATGTTTTGTTTTTTCATATTAAACAGGTTGTAGTCTATTACGTCCTCGTATTTTCAAGAGCCTTTTCTTTTCTTTTCTTTTCTAGCTTTTCCTTTCCTTTCTTTTTTCTATTGATTTGTTGTTAACATACTTCCTTGGTTCTGGTAAATTGAGCGTTAAATCGGTTCTGCAGCTTATACTGTAATTTTTCTAGTTTATATTCCTTTATTGCATGTAAAACATTAATTTATTTTGTATCATTTTTCTTGGTAACATCTGTTAGTTGTTCCCGTTTGCTTTATACCATTTTATTTTACTTCCGTTTACTCTATTTTGGTTTTCTGTCTGGTGTAATTTGCCTGCTGTATTGCTATTGGTTCGTATTTACAATAAATTGCTTTGGAAATCTTTGAATCCTCCTCGTTCCTACTCGCTCGACCGCCGCATCCTGTGTCATTCATTTCGAGTGTTCTCTCAACTTCCCAAGTGGGTTATCACTCCAGTAAACCAATAGAAAGTGCGGTCTGTTGCTTTTACCAAAAATACTGTATCTCTATGATGAAAGTTGATCCAAAAAGAGTTGTCAAATCTACATAGTGTCTTCAAAGCGTTTTGTGGGTTTTTTTTAAGTCTTTGCAAAGAATAACCTTAATTTTCGACTGTGAAGCCATGTTCAGTCAAGCAAATTATTATGAGTAGTGCTGGTAGACAACAGAGTTAGAAATTGCAAAGTCGATCATTACTTCAAATAAATACAAGCTTTTGGGTTTTATTCAGGAAGGATTTGTTGTTTTGTTTCTATTTTTCTTTTCCGTGATGTACTGACCTGTTTTTCGTCTTGAAAACCTACTATTCTCGAGTTTAGTTTTGCTGTTTTTCCGCGGCAAAACAGGTGAGAATCACCCTCCTCTCCAGCGTTTGGTAACTGACTCAAATCAAAGCGAGGCGGAACGTTTGCGACAGAAAACTTTTTCATTTTTTGTAATTACCTGACAAAACCTTGTCTTAATCTCGGCTTGTAAAAGCTTTTTTCTCGTAAGAGCTGAAGTACGATTTTCCACAATATTACAGACTAGATCGAGTCCTATTAGTTCTTGCAGTTGGATCTGCGGGTCCTAGATTTCCGTGCGAAGACTGTGAATAGTTTTCTGTTTTCATAAACACTTTAACATCTAACATGCATATTCATTTCCCGATAAACAAGAAAAAAATTCTGCCGAACTAAAAACAGACGTGTGCTCCTAAAGAAATTATTTCACGGTCGCCTGTGAAATAGCCTCGAGGTTATTATTTCAAAAAAATTAGTTTACCCGCAATTGAAGAAACATAAAAGAGAAATATAATTGCGTCAGGACAAAGCTGGAAGAATAAAAACAAAGAAGACCACAATATAGAGTTGCAATTAACAGTTTCCGTCAAATAAGAGTTGTTTTGAACAGTCAACCATTGTCGGCTGGCACAACACAATATATTCTACCCTGGGGGCTTTTAGCTATGCAAAATTTACGGTAACAAACAGCTTACTATCTAAAAGCTTTTGTACTCCTGAAGCGCAGCTGATCGCTCAAACCGACTAATTGACTTCAAAGTAGAAAACAGATTTTCTTTTTTCCCCGTAAATGTTTGTAACGTAAGAAAGCTTGTGATCTATTACGTAAAGATAGCTAGTGGGGTGGAGACCACGAGCAGTTCAACAGAAGAACAAAAACACTTTAAAAAAGGCAAGTTTTGTCTGATATACTCTACGAGGTCAGGTGAACACACTGCGATGCGTGGGATTCAAGCCAAGAGGAACTGGTGCATAATTTCTCCTTACAGTGTCACAACTGAATCAAATTCAAAAGTCATGAGAATTAGGCAAGTGATCACCAATTTCAGAAACTCTTGATTGTTAAACAAATTCTCCTTGTCAGAACCTTAGGAAATGTTTAGCTAACAGTATGGAGAATATACATATTGATGTTAGGTTGTAAAGGGTTAACATTTGAAGATGTGTCTGATCCGCTAACCCTTTTACTCACAAGATCTCATTATTAATTCTCCTTACTGTGAGCCACAAAATTCTAATGAAGTTAGTACGGAGAATTGGGTATTGTTTCAACTAATAATTCCTTAATTGATACTTTTCTTTATTCTCATCGCTTGTCTGTTTGATATTGTATTGATATTGTATTGATATTGTATTGATATTGTATTGATATTGTATTGATATTGTCAGGAGAAGTTCTGTCTTGGTCACTCATAGGAGTTAAAGGGTTTAGTACATAGAAAATGGGTACGATGAATTTCTTTGTTTGACATGCTGTGTAAGATAACGTCAGATCGCTTGATCTTGCGGCTAAAATAATTGGGCGTCTGGTTTAAAGGAGCCGCGCATTATTGAGATCAGGAGCCAATCACTTTGTTTTTAGCAAATTTAAAAGATCATGACACAGGGGCGTTGTAAGCGTTTATAGGGAGGTACGCCGGGAGTAGGGCTGGTAAACATTTCTGTGCACCTTACGTGTATTAGCTTATACTGTTGCTCTTTTTTCGCGTATAGCGGGCTCGGTAAAGAAAGGAAGGCCTTTAGAAGGGATTATCTGGCGCTGGGAAAGATTTACACTATGCATGTACAGATTCCTCGTAATCGCGCGTTTTCTTAAATCTGAATTATAAGATTTTTATGTGATACACTTAAAAGAGAATTATCTGAGAAAAGACAGGGAAGGGAAGGAGGGCAAAGCACCTCCCCACTCCCCTAAATGAATTAAGCCATATTTTGACTTGAGGATGATAACAAGTACCAGGACTCCTTACCACAGGCATCTCAAGCTCGATAAGAGGTAATAGAATTTTGATGCTTTCTTACATGATACACATTTTGTCTTCCAAAGTCCGCTGACATCAATCAAACTCGATCACAAGCAACGACAAAATGTCGCAAAATCGTATCAATTTGTAACCAGATTTTTCAATATATGGTATGATTTTGGTTATTGAACTTCGGCCGGTAGTGTCTACTTTCTTCGAGAATGAGTAGGAATCTTCTTCGTGGCATAAACAAGCTAACTCAACTTCACCACTAACGGCCCCCAAAATGGGCCTCCAAGCTGAAAAAATATTCCACGATACTACGTTAAGGTAAGGTAATATGAAAAAAGCTTTACTCAGAGCTCTCAAGTTTGACATCTGGTAAAGGGTGAAACGTTCGACCACATATCCATCGAGTGTAATGCCGCGCTCGGCCATCACGCATCGGGGGTGGGGGGTATGTAAGGAGGCATTCTCCCCTGAAAAATGTAAAAAATGTATCTAAGACGTATACCCCCTTATTCTTGTTCTGAGCATTTATGAACAGAGACCACTGTACTGGTCTGCAGTCAGCATGTGACTGGGGCTGTCCTGGTGTACCGGTACACGAGGGAATTTCTTTTGTTTTCATAACCATACATGGAGTTATGACGCAGTTCGTTAATGTTTCCTTCCTTTGTGTACCGGTACACGAGGACACAACCATGTGACTGACTAACTTCTCACCAATAGAACAAAAGGAAAGTAATATCAAGTTTATTATCTAAAACCTCTGGTACTTGGATCTCAAACATTTTTGTAGGCCATGGAAAAATTTATGTTAACAAGGAAAGATCTATTGTAGATCGGAACATATATAATTTATGTGTTCTCTTTTAAGTGGTTCTGATGGAACTTAAAGTATTTTTGTTTTGTAGCTTGCTCAGCGTGATACTCCAATACATCAGAGGAATCTTCCCAGTCTCCCAAAAGAGTTTTCATTATTTATTAAAAGGGATGACATGACAGGAAGCACTCTGTCTGGAAACAAGGTACACAGCTTGGAATTCAGTTCTTGATCAACATTTTTAATTAATAAATGTTAAGATGTGGCATTATCTTCATCAACAATAAGTGAGCTTAGTAAGATGAGGTTGGTGCAGCCACAGGAGATCCAGCAAGAGGTTGCACAATCTATTTGGAATGCCTGTAGTTTAAAGAAGAACTCTTTTTTAAGTTCAGTAGGAAAACAAGACAACAGTTTGTTTGGCATCCACTGACTGTGCTTAAGTCAGTGGAAGATGACACTTACCATATTTATTCAAACACAGTGGGGTTTATTAAATTTTTCATGATTCGAGTTTGGCATTTATTCTAGGGTGGTGTTTATTCTACAGCGACATTTATACAAGGGCAGTGTTTTTTAATTATCCAATTTGTTTCTTGCAAATAATAGTATGGTAACTGACCATTTTAATTTTAAAGAACAGAAAAATGTTTTAGTGCTTGTCTAAGAGTATTGTTTATATCATTCTAAAATTCCCAATTTTGCATCAGAACTGGTACATTCAAAAGGATGTGTCTGATTCACTCAAAATTTCCAACTGTGATTGAAGCATTGATCACATCATGATTCTGTATTTATTCAAGGGTAGCATTTATTTCAATAAATAATAATTATGTTATGTACTAATTAAACTGCTCACATCAAAGAGAAAGGAAGCTCACAGGGGTTACATTTTTGCCAGCCTTTTTTGAGAGTACAGACATTTTTTTTTACAGTGACTGCTACTTTGGTTTTCAAGTTTTTATTCTCTTAAATTTAAGTCTTTACAGCTTATGATATTTTTTGTATAGCTGAGGGTCTCAATCAAGAGACAGCTGAAGATGGTTCAACTTAGAATTTTGCATGTGAGCAATGAAAATCTGCCAGATTTAAGCACTATTGTTTGAAAATATTGCAATGTGGAAGCTGATGTTATGCTAAAACAAATGCAAAAGAGAGTATAGCAGTTCTAATGCAAATGACAATAATATGATATAACTTTGCAATCATCTGAGTAAAATGACCATAATTATATGGAAATGCATAGCTTCAGTTGTGTCTGTACCTGTGGTCAAAGTCATCTCATATCTTTTTCTTACTAACCCTTTGAGTGACTGGTGTCTAATTTCTTCTTACAAATCATGCCTTGATCACATATTAAGGTTATGGGAATAAAGAAAATGATCACCCACTTAAGAAGCTCTTGATTGTTAGACAAATTCTCCTTGCCAGCACCTTAGGAAATGTATACAGAACAGTATGGAGAATATGTATACTGATTTGAGTGTGTAAAGGGTTAAGTGCATCCTCAACTGCTGAGTGACCTTAAATTGTGCTTGTCTCATTCAGCTATGCCAATGTTGTTTTAGGTTCGTAAGCTGGAGTTTTGTTGGCTGATGCCCTGGACAAGAAGTGTGACACAATATTTACTTGTGGTGGAATCCAGTCCAATCATTGCAGAAGCACTGCAGTTGCTGCTAGACAACTTGGTTGGATTGTTACCTGTTCTTAGAAAGAACTGATGCAGAAGATTTTAAGCTGCTTGAGTCATGATCAAAGATCTGTTACCGCTAAGCACATGTTATTGGCAATTAGACAAAGAGTGATGCCCATGTGATCTATCACTAATGATAACTTAACAAACACATTACAACATGGAATCTCAGAACTTTTTCTTTTACCACACTCACAACAAGATGAAAAGCATCTTTCTATATTTCTTTGCCAAGCTCAAAACCTACAATCTTTGTTTTTTTTTTATTTGCAAAAGATGGAATCTGTTTGTGAAATAGAAGCTCATCACATTGCATTGAACAGTGGACTCATATGAAGATGAGATGACAAGATTCACGACTGCATTGTCACATATTATAGTTGAGCACGTTTCTTTGAGATTTGAAGCAGACAGGAAAAACTGCATAATAGGCTGCTAACAGAAGTTCAATCTTTACTCTAATGTTGCTCATTTCAAAGGAAGAAGGGCACCAATTTTGCTTCACATAGATGGCTAAATTTTAAGAAAGTTAGCAAAGTTATTGAAACTTTCATTTGATCTTTTTTTCTTCATGCAGACCATGGATATTGGTTGTAAAGGAAACCTGTTTTTAAACAAATTGGTTGGAAGTCAAATTATTGTTGTTCCTCAGCTTCAGTACAAATCTGGCCTTAAACAAATGATGGAGAAAATGTGTGAAAAATTGTAAGTAAATTAGGCTTTGATTTTAGACAGAGCTATCACCAAGTGACAGTAATGAAGCAGCTCATTGTATTATAATTGTCAATGAAAATATTGAAATTCTTTTGAAGAAATTTGTGTTGCAGCCATTTTACAGTGGAATTGACTGTGTATTAATTTACTAGTAACAGGTGTAGATGTAGGGATAGATCTCACTAGCAGAACTTGCTTGAAAGGTTTAAAAAAACTGCATGAATTTACTGCAATGCTTGGGACATTTTAGTTGAATAGTACCATCTTTGGGGTGTAAACTGATGAAAATCATGATGGCTGCCACCCTAGCGCATCTTGTAAAACATGAAGGCGAGCAAAAATATTACAGGAGCTGCTATTGGCTCTCAAGTTGGTTCCCTTTAAAGGAATTGAAAATCAAGTCATATCTACAATGCAGCCTTTTAGGTGCTAAAAGGCTGCATTTTTTTATACAGTTCTGTACTTAGTTGCCAAGCCTTTGATTTGGAGTGAGGCTGAAGGTGACCTTGTTGTGATAGAGACCAGTACCTAGTTAGCTTAACAACAATGCAATTTACATTGGAAAAGTAGCAAGGTTTCTATCATAACAAAGTCACCCTTGGCCTCACTCCTGTTGAAAGTGTAAATTGGGGATGATAAATTATTGTATGGAGAAATTAGATGCTAATCACTCCTAAGGAATAACACACCTAATTAATTTGTAATGGAGGTAAATTTTTTCTACAGGTTCCCTATTTTAAAGTGATTCCCAGTGTTCTCCTTTATTTTAAGCATGACAGGTATAATAAATTTTCAAACCGGTAAAGCAATCCTTTTACCAGTTGAATTTTCAAGAATTCCAAACAATTTTAAAGGGTAATAACAGGTATTACAGGTGGTAAATGTTACTGGTTACTGCCTGAAAAGGAGAACACTGGATTCCAAATTTCTTGTTGGCCAGGAGATTATATAACCCACACAGGAGACCGATAGATTCCGTTCTGTCATGTGACTCTCAGGAAATGCTAAGAAAACTCAAGAGAGTTGTTATTATAATTATTATACAGTGAGTAAAGAAGGTAGCACTGATATTGGAGAATTCTTGAACTAATTTTTGATAGGCTAAGTTATTTTGACCCAGTTCCTTCCTGCTGACTTTGTCTGTTTTTTTTTTCGGGGAGGAACAGGGCTCATCAGCTTATCTGATTGAAGTTGGAGGCCCCTCTTACATGGGGATGTTTGGTTACTAAACAGCATTTCAAGAAATTATAGATCAGGTAAAATTACAGGCTTTTTTGGTATTGTGTGTTCATTTTGTGCATTTCTGGTCAAGAAGTCATGGATGCAGTTAAACACTGATCACAAAAAAGCCTGTTTGTTAAAAGATTTTTTTCTGGATATCTTTCAAAATGTTGGCTTTGTTTGTTTCAGAATGTGCTGGAGAATTTTGATGACATTGTTGTTACAGTTGGCAGTGGTGGAGGGGCATCAGGAATTGCCATTGGTAACTATTTGACAGGATCAAAACTCAAGTAAGCTCTAAATAGAAATGTTGATATTTTCTTTATGGACTGTGTGGGAGGGCTGGACAACAGAACATTTGTCTCAAGGTCATAACATATAGACCTCTCTCTGACCAATCTGTTCATTATACCCAGAGGCCAAATGTTTTCCAATCTGGCCTGTCTTCACTTAGTCTTAAGGGATTTTATCATTTGACCAGCACTCTTTTTCTTCTTTCTTTTTGCTGTTTGCATCTCAGGAGGCCATATATAGAGCTCTGCTGTTATTTATGGTGCCACTGCCACTACTGCTTTTCTTCATCTAAAGGATTTGATTTTTTACAATGTTTTTCATTTAATTTACATCCAGGGATTTACTGGTCTTAGGATTAATAATAATAATAATAATCATAGGACTGAGTGGAATTCAATTCAGTCTGTAATCTTACAAGTGATTAATACAATCAGATGACTGTGAAGTGGGAGTCAAATATGTTAATGTTAACACAAAATCCTGTTACCAATTAATCAAAACTATGACAAAATTTGAGAAAGAAACCAGATGTATTGGTTATGCGTTTTTGTAACAGGGTGTGCACATGACACATGCTGTCCACTCATATAGGCATGACATGTCAACTGTCCTGTTACACTGTTCAGTAAGAGGCATGACACATGCAGTGTCCTATTAGTGCTTAAATTGGGCTGGTGATAACTAATCACATTGGAGTTTTTTGTTATTGTTGCCACTGAAATGCTGTATCACCTTTCAGGAACCCCTGAAAAACTATATCATGCTGGGGAACATTATGAAAAAGCTTACCAACCTATAGGCTGATAAAAAATTTCTGCAACTACCTAAGCTATACATGCTGAAGATTTTAGCTTAAGAGATTGTGCTTCTTGAGAATTTCTAACAGGCCTTTCTATCTTTCTAAAAGTTTCCCCTTGTTTTCTTTGAACACTGGAGACTAATTGAAACCTGTAATAGCAACATGATTGTCATTTATTCATAGATGTCATGTAGTGAATGTATGTGATGATGCAGCATATTTTTACCAGAAAATCAATGAAGACCTTCAAATAGGTGGGCTAAATGTTCTAGCAGAAGAAATAATTGATATTATTGATGGATACAAAGGACAGGGCTATGGCAAATCCACTGAAGAAGAGTTAGTTTGCAGATTTTGGTTTCTTCATAATAGGACTAGTAGTCAAGCAGTCCCTCTTTTTTCAGAGAAGTCTGTTGGGAAAAAAGAAAAAAAACAATGAAAAGGTTGACGTAAGCTCCTAGCAGCGCACTTACCTTTTTTCACTGATCCTTTTCTTTTTGAGTCATGCAACTTTCATAGACTTTGCCCAAAAGGATGGATTTCTTGTAGTCTTCTACATATGTTACATGATAAGCTGCTTATTTTGGTACTGGAATGAAATGCAAGTTGAAGAGAGTTGTTTCTATCTATCAGTAAACAACCTTTTCAAAACATGAAAACATAAGAAATCATGCCTCTCATTGCCTTCTGTTCCTTTACTAATGTTAAACATGGAAAATTTGTTTTCAGAATGCTCTTTGGCTGACAGCATTTTGGTTTATTTCAGTGCGAATTAAAAGCTGAAATTTTATCGCTGAAAGTGAAAATGATATGTACTCTGTTAACAAGGGATCAATGTATTTGTTTTACAATGTAGAAGGAATGATCACTCAATGATGTTTCAAACCACAAAGTTTACTTGCCCCCACTCTCTCCCCCCTCCCTATTTACCATAGGTTTATGCAAGACAATAATAATGGATATTTATAGCAACGATGATTATTTTTTTATTGATTATTTATTCCAGGATGCATTCGAAATTGTTTGATTACCAAATAAAAACATGATCTAAATTTTTCTTAACCATTTACACTCGAATTTGCACCTTACGAACCCTGAAATCTTTTTATCTGTTAATGAAGAGGACATTGTGGAGAATTATCCAGAACAACTGGTATTATGGTGGACCCCTTGCACAACGTCAAAGCCATCAGAGGAATGCTACACGAGATGAACACCGACCCAGGGCGACAGAATACTTTATATTCATACTGGTGAGTACAATTTTTCAACATCATCATTTGATAAATACCTCCTTCCTTCCCTTTGGCAAAGAGCCCACATACCTTAAAAATAATGGTTTCTCAAAGGTAATCCCTTAGAACTGCGTTTTTCCTTGCAAATGATATTCTGCTCATGCGTGATTGTGCGCTTGTCAGCCAGAAGGAAAAAGGTGCATCACCTTAAGTTGTCAACGAGTGATTTTGGGAAATGATGTGAAAAACGAAACTCGTTAATCAAATAAAAAGGGAGAAAAACGATTTCTGAACTCGGCTATCGGCTTTGTTAAATAATTGTGTATATCATGATATTTTCCTCAACCTGGTACATAAATTGCAAACTTGAGACCCCATTTTTGATCCCTCGTAGAAGTATCAGTGGTTCGTGACTTGTACTACAGTTGCATGTAGCATGTACTTTCTTTCGCGTGGAAGCAAAATGTTATACATTAGACTGACTATGAAGACTCTGATTGGTCGATAGCATACAGTCGATATACAATAGCAGATATTGGGTTCTCATGTCGCGTTTAAATTATGCCTAGTTTCCAATCCCCTCGTCCGTGTAGTGTTCTCAGACTCTTGAAAAATCAGAGAGGACATTCTTCTTTTGCAAATTGTTTCCACGAATGTATGATGAATCAGTTATTCAAATTGGTTTTAGCGTGATATTGTAAATTATCAAACCCGGCATCTATGTTATCTGCCTCGGCCTTCGGCTTCGGCGGATAACTCAGACCCCGGCATTGATAATTTATATTATGCTCTAACCTCATTAAATAATTTCTCATTATTATTCAATTGCACTTAGTAGAGTACAAGTAACGAGAGAATCGAGTAAAAATTTCCTGTGATATTGTACATTTGGCTGTTTTGTACTCTAAAAAAACTTGTTTAATCGGTTGGCTGCGCGTGCTGCACTTTTCTATCTGCGTCGCTTTTCCCACTTTTTGAAAAATGCCCATGAAATAAAGCAGTTGGGCAATAAATAACTTATTAGACGTTTTGATGTGCAGTATCGCTGGGTATATTTACTCATAGTTTGTATTTTGACTCGCCTTGCGCGATCGTCAAAATATGCCACAACTCGTAAAAATAGTTACCGATACTGCACACCAAAACTTCTCATAACATATAGCTTTTGATGGAAGACTGAATACGACAACATCCACAGATGATAAACGTTCATATAATTGCTTAGAGGATTGTATTAGCACTCCTTTGAAAATGGCGGGACCTGATTTGTAATAGTGTTATGCGAGTTTCGCACACGTCTGATAGGGTGTGTCTTATTTTCCAACAGGAGGTGTGTTCGGTTTGTATGATGGAAGAATGGACCCGTTAGTAACTCGCCCTGCACTGGGTATAAATGATGTTGTCTGCTGGGAAAGAGAGAATGATCCCATGCCATTCTGAGGCTGACACGTTCTCAGTTGTCTCTCCTATTTGAGATATTTAGGTAGTGCTCGAGAGGTTCGCGTGTAAAAAGATTTTCTTTCGTTTCCCATCGTTCCCTTTGTTAATGTAGTGCTAATCTCTCGCGAAACCCTCGGCCGCGCAAGAAAGACTGGGAGCTAGTAAATTTTCGGGTGGCAAGCAAGAAAGGTCAGTCAAGACATGCCTACGTTCTTTTTTTGGCGTCATCCCGTAAAATTGGCCACGAAAGAGGAGATAACAGCATTGCATGGACTCCTCAAACCACATCAGAGGGAGTGAGTTTACATATCGAAGGCGAACACAACAACTTATTGGACCGGTAAAAAAATGTTAAAGCCTTTGAAAATATATTCGTGTAAAAGTATAAAGATTTAAAGTTTTTAATCTTTTTTTTTATTTATACACTTATATCTTTGATTTTCGACTAATAAAACAAAAGGTCACGTTATATCCGCTTTTCAGTATAACAAGTTCTATTTTTGGATCAAATTTGACAAGCAAATTTTGGTGAGTTTTGCAATTGCTTGGGGCAATATTTGGATTCCAAGTTTTGTTTTCAGCCCAACGAGGATTTCGACAAAATTGATGCCTCTGAATCAAAGGGAAATCAGATGGGCATCGGGTACGTTCGAAGAAAAGTTTCCCGTTGATTGGATCCATATTGCCGTAGACCTTTTTTACAGTTCCGTGGCTCTGTTTCAATTAAATTGTGAACAACTCACCTTCATAAACTTTGTCCGCCTCGTGTTGACAGCGTTCGTAGTGTTTTACGTGAACATCGTCGGTGCAATGAGGCTAAGGACCTCTTTCATGCAGGTTGAAAGCTGACTACTTTGAATAAATGTGTTTCTCCAACCCTAAGTTTATCATCTTACGATGACCAGCGAGGATTGTGTAGTCGTAATAATGGCCTCGCCAATTTATACCGGTCAAGATCCCAACCGATGTAGCAAAAACAATCGTTTATTCGTGCCTTCGCAACAATCAGCAATTTCAGGAAAACCTTGCGCAAACCGCTTGAATCCATTATTTAGAGATTTTAATCCCTATGATGCACCGATACTTTCGATCGATCTGTTACATAGGAAGGCTTTTGATTGCTTTCATGTTAATCCGTTTCTTCCAAACGGTCTCTCACGTGAATCGGTCCATAATTTTTGTTAGGGAGGATCTCACAGAACTTCATCCCGACAAGAATGCTTTATTTGCTTTTCACTTCGTTGCAGTCCGCTTTTACACGCATGGATTCTGAATTCTGGCGTTTTAAAAACCAGAATGAAATTTCTCAATCTCCCGGAGAACAACTCGCTCGGAGTGATTTGCAAAACAAATAGTAGCTTGTTCAAGTTCGCAGAAGAACATCAGCCGTGAATTTTCCAGAAAATTCTTTCGAAGTGTTGTGAATCTTTTATCATGGAAATTACTTACGATGGCATGCATGCGTGACTTGTGTATTCGACATGAACTGATTCACGGTACGTTGTTGTCTGAGAGCATTTCCACCTTGCGATTATACTTTGGTACACAGTGGCTCTGGTAGATGAAGGTGAGAAATTATTTTTAATATTCGAGCCTTAAAGGAAACATTTTATCGTTGTTTTACTTGGCTCTGTTATTGTTAAACTTAAGCTGGAGTCCAATATACCAATGATCACACTGTACATTAAAGCTTACTGATTTATTATGCGAATATCAACCAGTGATATTCTGAGATTGAAACAGCCCTGTACGACCATTATAGAGCACGTAGAAAAGGAAAAAGTAACATTTGATCTGTTTGATTTAACTGGAAGAATAACAGATGCTTGCTTTGAAATGTGTAAATGTACATACGGAAAAAATATCTTCGTGGCCAACATTAACTTCGGCCGTTCCTTTCTCGATCTGTTGTCGGCTGATCAGCAAACGGGAAACAAGTTGGCTGTCAGTTTTCTCATCACTTTCAAATTGATTTTTTCTGGATGAACACGAAAAACGTGGACAATGAATTTGAGAGGCATTCAAGTTTTGATCTTTGACACAACTGGATTAAAGGTTTCCTTTTCAACTTTCCGCAAAGTTCTCTGTTTTGAGATTATTGCATTGAACGTTTAACTTTGGCTTCAGCTGGGGAACTTGATGATTTGAAACTTGTGGAGTGGAAACACAATTACTTTTTGTAAAGGATTCCTATCAGTTGAGTCATTTTGATGTCTATCGGATATCTTTGAATCATTTCGCAACAAGAAAGGTTTTGAAAACTTTTTGAGTCAGTCAGCCATGATACTTTGGTACACTCTGTCTCTGATAAATAAATTGTAAGAAAACTTGACTTATTAGACGAGCCTTAAATTACACCTTGTATAGCTGTTTTACTCAGTTCTGTCATTGTCCAACTTAAACTGGAGTTTTATACGCTTTAGATCATACTGTTCATTTGATTTAAGCTTGTTTATTGTACTATCATCAATTGCAACCAGTGGTAAATTGAGATCGAATTAGCCTCATAGGACCATTATAGAGCACTTCGAAGAGCTAAAAGCAAAATTTTGTCTTTCTGATTCGATCGAACTCATGAACGTATGTTTGTTCTGAGAACGTGTTCGTATACAGTAAAAATTTCCTCGTGGCTGCCATTAATTTGGCAGTTCCTGTCACGATCTCTGGCTTCGCTCTGATTCTGTTTCTTAGCTATAGAACTCTAATCATTTGAGTCTTTATAATTCGTACTGGATGTGTCTGAATTACTTCGCAACGGGAAAAAGTTTTGGAAAGTGTGTAAGTCCGTCAGCCATGAATGACTGCGGTTTTTGAACTGACTTTTGCGACTGATAAAGTCAGGAAGCTTTTGCTGAAATGCTGATTGCATGCTTCTACAAAGCTATTTTTACTTTGACAGCAGCGACCAAATTTTCTTAACAGCTGTCCTGTGATCTTCACCAGCGACAACACCATGCTAATGCAGGAAACCTTAATTAGTTTTGAAGATGTTATGCTTACGAAACTGAAAGTAAGACTTTGCATTTCTCGATCTTCTACGCAGTCTTTAACTATTGTAAAAGAGACTTGCTTTTCAAGCAAAGGTTTTCTTCTCTAACTCTTGATTTATGGTTAGGTTTCGTGGTCTTCGACGCCTACTTTTAGTATTTTACTTTTAGGTACATAACAAACTACGCATTTTGTGGGTAATCAGCCGAATTATATTTAAAAAGCATTGTCAGATAGTTTTAAAATAATGTCGCGCCAATTAATTCATCCTAAACGCGAAGGATGAAACAAAGTAAATTATTAGAGAGATGAGAAAATATAAGACAGAGAATAATGGATTGCTGATGATCTCTTCAAGGATTCATCTTTGGGATTATAAAATGCAAACTCATGTGAAGTTATTTTTCTGTGGTTTTGCCCAAATGATCATGAAAAAGGACCTCCAGCGGATAATAATCTTCTAGAATACCAAGCAAAATTTAACGATAAAACTATCTGGTTTGAAAAGCAGGATCCTTTTGTGAGAAACAGCTACTTTCCCTGTGAAAAAATTTTCCGCTTTAGGTCATGCGTTTGGTAGTTGGACTTTAATTGTTCATACAGCAGAGTTAGCTCGGTAAGATGCAAATTGTAATCGTCTTGTTTATTCTTTTCATTGTCATGCACCGACCGTTCAACTATCACGCGATAGAGATATCGAGCTCCTAATCTAACTGTTATAAACAGAGTTACATCTAAGAGTCAGAAGAGGCTTTCAGGAAGAGCTTAAACAAAAAGAAAGAAGAAAGAAAGAATTATAAAAGAGGCTTGGAGATCTGACTCGGGTATTTATCATTAGATATTATTGTAGTCTGTGATATTTTCTTTGCTCCGCGTCCAAGGGAGCTTACACCCTTGCGAAGATTTTGCACGAGACATTATACCTTGGAAAATTTGCGGCAGAACACTAGCCGTGAATGTTCCCGAAAATGTTTTCGAGATTTTGTGAATCTTTCATTATGGAAATTATCTTTGAATGCATGCATGCGTGAGTTCTGGGCGCGACAGGAACTGATTCACGGTATGTTGTTGCGTAGTCTTGCATCATTTATACGTTGCGATGATACTTTGGTTCACTTTGGCTCTGGTAAACCAAATGTAGGAAAACTTAAGTTATTATTCGAGCTACTTTACTTCGTTCTGTCATCGTCCAACTTAAACTGGAGTTTTATACCCTTATGATCATACTGCACATTTAATTTAAGCTCGTCTATTGTAGGTTCATCAATTGCAACCAGTGATTAATTGAGATCTAATTAAATTCATACGACCATTATAGAGCACTTCGAGAAGGTATAAGCAAAATTTTGTCTCTCTGATTCGTTCGGACCAATGAACGTATGTAAGTTCTGAAAATTAGTTCATATACAAAAGAAATTTCCTCGTGGCTGCCATTAATTTGGCCGTTCCTGTCTCACTCTGTTGTCAACTGGCCTCGCTCTGAGTCTCTAAGTTTTCTCATCACTTTCAAGTTGATTGAGTAGTTCATAAAAACTCTCATATTTCATTTGAAACAAAGCTAGAAGAAAAATTTGAAAGGTATTTGCGTTTTGATCGTGAACACAACTGGATTGAAGTTTTTTTATTCAACTTCCCCGCAAAGTTGTTTGTTTTGAGATTAAAACATCAGTAAAAGTTTAACTTTTTTTTCAGCAAATGAAATCGTTTATGTGTTACCTTTACGGTCAAACAAAATTCCTTTCTTAGTCTTTTTTATTGTTATTGGATGTCTTCGAATCATTTCGCAACAAGAAAAAGTGTTGGAAAGTTTGTAAGTCAGTCAGCCATGAATGACTTTTTGGTTATTTAATTAGTTGACTTTCGCGACGCAATATTTGTATATTGCAATTGAGACTTGCTTTCAAGTAAAAGTCTTGTTCTCTGACTCTTGATTTATCGGTAGACTTCGTAGTCTTTGTCAGTTACCTTAAATGTTTTGCTTTCGGGTACATAACAAACCACGCATTTTGTGGGCCATCAGCCGAATTATATTTAAAACGCATTATCACATAATTTTAACATGGTGCCGCGCCAACTGATCCTAAACGTAAAGGATACAACTAAATAAATTATCAGGAAGATGGAAAAATATAGGAGAAAAATAATCAACTAAAATATATACGTGGATTGCAGATGAACTGCTTCAAGGATTCATCTTTGAATTAAGAATATGCAGACTCATGTGAAGCTATTTTGCTGTGGTTCTGCCCAGACAATCGTGAAAAATGACTTTCAGCAGATAATTATCTTCTATGATACTAAACAAAATTTGAGGATGAAATTATCCGGTTTGAAAAACAGGATCCTTTCGTGAGAAACGGCTACTTTCCCTGTGAAATCAGTTTTCACTTTAAGTCAAACGTTTGGAGAAGGGAATTTAATATTTCA